AAAGGCATCGATCTGGAACGCTACGAAGCGGCCACAAGGGCAATTGTCATTGCCACACCATATAAGCTGCTCTATCCGCAGTGGTGCGACGACCAAAGTCTCTGCTCAGCCTAAACGAAACGACAGGGAATTTGTCTTTGACGAAAAGTTTATCTTTGAGCGACGAGAAAAGGATGAACAGTATCATGAGGTGACTATTAAGGTGTCGAGTGTTGCACCTGGTTTCAACAAGAAACACTGTCTTGGCCAAGTACATGTGGACTTGGATGCTGCGTTTGCTGCACAGACAATGGGTCCTATCTACAGACAGAGTGCTTTACAGACAAATGACGGCTCGGAATCGAGGATGGAGATTTACTATGTACTTCACCGTCTGGTAGTAAAGAATGCTATGGCTGCCACTGCTTCACGAAAGCTCATTCGATCAAGCAGGAGTCTTAACGACGATGACGACATGGACACCTGTGGACAGATTTTTCCCGATTTATGGTATCTATGCTAAGGTAGGGGCCATTAACAACGAGGAATGAAGTATTTGGATGACAAGTGAAGAAGAACCAAGTTGTTTCGATGCTTAAAAATTCTGTCTATAACGAGGATTTGTTTTGTATTGATTGATACCTGTAGACTCGACTCTTTACGACACTGATGGTCTCATTTACAATTCGTATTACAGTTGCAGTGTCGTGGGAGTTGAGTCAGTACATGAACTGAATGCATGGCATAGAAGGTACCTGTTATAATAAATCCCCTCCTAAATATGATTACCAGTAGGTAGGTCATTACCATACATACGCACACTGTACATATTTTTTACCTGTATACATTTGATTCTATGAATTTCGTCATAAAGTTTTGACGATATAATAGACTCATAGTAAACCAAACGCCATCGCTTTCAAGTGATCTTCTATCGTCGTAAGAAATGACGTTTTATTGTGCTTCTTCGAAAGAAGAGGAAGAATTGTCCTTTTCATCGACTTCTACTATGGACTCTGACTATGAGATACCAGTTGCACTGCAGAAACTACACGTCTGGACCAATGAGCGTGTATCTACTCGAGTTTCGCAGACGTTGAGTACCCTGAATACCATTCGGGAGAGCGAGTCGATGCGTTTTAGTATGGTGACGGCTAATAAATGGAAGAAAATGGGCTATCATCCTTATAAGCCTGACGCCTTGGGATACACGGCATTGCATCGTGCTGCGAAACGTGGTGATGAAGCTGTCGTGACGTCTCTCCTTGCCATGTACGACGGCAAAGCCATTGACTTGGCCTCGATTCAGTCTCATAAACAGCAACAGATTGCGCTACATATTGCAGCCAAGTATGGTAACCTTGAAGCTGCTCGACTGCTAGCTGCGCCGGAATTTCGACGACTTGTCAACATGCCCGATCGCAATGGCAACACCCCGTTGCATTTTGCTGCTACGTGTTCTGCACCGTCAGCGGTGAAGGTTGTCGCATTACTCTTAATGCGAGGAGCAGACCCGACAATCAAGAGCAAGCGAGATGTCTTTCCCATCGTTGCTAGTGTGCTCACGGCACAAGGTGAGGACGACCCGACGATCGTACAGTTACTCATGAAAAATGGCAGTGACCCCAATACTGTCGACGGGGCTGGTAATACGGTGCTGCATATTGCTGTGTCACGGGGGCTGTGGAAGGTTGCAGCAGCTCTTGTAAGTGAAAACGCAGGCATGACGATCCGCAACAACCAAGGTGTGATGGTCCTGGATATTCTGTCGCCGGCACAGCTGGCGTGGTTGGTCAAGTTCCTTGTGCATCCACCTGAGTGGGTACCTTATGAGACGCAACGCTCTTGCATGGTGTGCTCGCGCAAGTTTGGTCTGCTTGTTCGACGTCATCACTGCCGATTATGCGGACGTATTTGCTGCGGTCCATGCTCTAAGTACAAACGCCGTCTCCCATTTAAGAACACTTCGAACAAGCTGACGAGAAAGGGGCACCATGATATGATGAAAGTCTGCAGTACCTGCGTTACCGTTCGTAGCGTTGCGGACACGGACTTATCGTGGGCAAGCACCACGGTGGACCGATTGATAGCAAGTGATGCTATTGTAGATTATAATCATGATTATTAGCTCGCGGAGAAAGCAGCCACTTCGAACGAAGAAGACGGCGGCATCATGCGGCTGGCAAAAACGGTTGGATCCCTCCCTTGACGCTCTTCATCTTCTCCTCGTGAATTAGCGTACCGTACCAAATTTTCAACGGCATTTGGTGACCTTCACACATGGAAGTTTTACATACGCACCTTACTGTCCAGTTGCAAATTGCTTACCATACATGATGTAGTGGCATCTGCTCTACGTAAGAGGAAAACTTGATGAAAAGCTGTACTACGCTAGCCGATTGCAAGGTCTGTGTAGTATGATATCGGTGGGTGGTACCATTCCTGACGAAGGCAGTAGTAACGCAACGCAGAGCTTTTCAAGCACCATTCCAGCTCCCGTAAGCTGTACACCTTTTGCTTCTTGTACTACGAAATATATCCAACGTGTCTGCTATCAACAAGACGACGTCGACGACAAAAAAGAAATACATTAGCTTCACGTAAAGCACTGTTAAAGTTCAACATGCTATCGGGTTGTCTTTTTCTTGATTATTCTTCCTGCCCCGCTTTTGCTTGGCAGGGTTAGCAGCACGCTATATTCTTCTTCCGTCTCCATTTTCCGGTCCGTTTTGATGCAACCTGCAGACGCTCTTACGCCTGGTAAGCGCCATGCGTAGGTAGCATCATCGGGCCTCCTTCTTTCATGCTAAGCGCACACAACAATGTAACAATTAGCACCTTTCAACAAATCAACCGACACAAACGGGCATACCTCTTGAAGTAGTAGTACAGGAAATCCGCCATCATAAGCATGTGGCCAATCTGCACAAAAACCACCATGTAGCCAACGTGCTGGCCGGCTTCCTTCTCCCCTAGCTCATGGTACGACGAGAACCAAAACACGAGGTGCAAGAAGCTACCAAATGCAAGAGCATACACGAAGTGCGAGATACACGACTCCACAGCACCACCACCCTGAGTCAACAGTATCAATTATAAATGAGTCATTGCAAAAACAAACCTCCATCAAATCAACAAAGTACATACACGTTTCTGGAACATGAACAGCTGAGGTAGGATAGCAACGGCCTCAATGTACAGTGCAATAGTCCACGACACATCCGACAACCAGTTACGGTTCAAATTCGGATGTATAAGCTACATCACACGTCACAAGACATATACAAAAACCTTTAATAATAATCCTGTACACTCAAAACTAGTCACATATAGTATTGTACGTACAACGCCAAAGACCATGCAGGGCACGAGGATGTAGAGTGCACCGAGCTCCGTGGGTACATGTAGCCATCCAAAAGTGTCATAACGCAACTCGTACGTCGCATTAAAGCGTATTGTCACAAGATAAATGACTCCACAGCAGAGCGTGAGTGCTATGATCTCCAAGAACGTGTAGAGCCAGTCTCCACTTCGATCGTATGGGAGATACCCCTGGTACCGAAGAATGGAGCTAAGACGAAAGAGAAACACAAACGCATACAACTCCAATGTCTTGAGGGATAATCCAGCCACTGAGCGTTGCGAAAATGCTTTAAAGATGAGGAAAACAAAGCCAAAAGCTCGAACAAAGGAGCCCATCGTCTAGACAAGTCAATTACCATCAAAAGTAGTGAGAATTTGGCGAGGAGTATTGCATTCGGAGTCCAAAAAAGGGACATAGACGTACCATCATGAAGGAAAAGTCCCCGTCACTAAACAAATGATAGCAAAAGAAGAGAAGAACGAGTAAAGCCGACCATAGAGCGATATTGTTCTTATGCGTCATTAAAAAGGAACTAAACGTAGTGAAAAGGAGAGACAAGTATGAGAAGAGAGAAGAGAATGTAGAGATGAAGATGAAAGGAAGAGGAGATGGACAACGTACGCGCCAAGAGACTTGTCTTTGCTGCTAAGGTTCATCATCTTCCCACGGGACAATTTCCAATTGATTATGACGCGTCGCGAAGATTTTGTGATCGGTTAGAAATGAGTTTTCATTGGTAGAAACGATAAAGAAAATGGTGGAGCAAATATGAGGTGGCACACATGAAAGTGACCTTTTACAGGATGGTATAGATGCAATGAAGGCAGTATACGTATAGCTACGTGGTGGTAGACTCTTACTATAAAAGTCAACATTTATTGCGGATGTTGATCATGTGATACTCGAGTCCCTCAGCTTTTTATTTGGTCTCTACATATTGATCCGATAGTATGCGGATTCAGTTAGAGCTAATAACTGTATATCATTGGGTATCTATTGCTTATAATATGAAAAGAATGGAAGAAAAGGGCGCTCAGATTGAGTAGGAGAGATGATTCTAGTTAGTCATCACTTTCGACTGAATCATTGTAAATCAATTCCTCCTCGCGCACCAGCGATAGAGCAACAAATACTATCTACAATATGTCAAATAGACATGTCGAAATGCTGATTCTTCTGGAGGTGTTAGACCGCAAAACACGAGTCAGCACCTCCCAAAGTGCCCAGCGCTTCTAGTCGTCTCCAAGGACTTTCACGTCAGGCTGATGGACCCAACATCCACAAGAGGGACCTATTCTAGCCGCCAAGTACAATAGCACGGAAGACCCAATCGTCGCACGGAAAAGTGACGTGAGTGGCAAATAGGGCAAACGATATGCATTCCCACTACAAGAAGACTAAACTACGAATGAACCATACTGTCGGTCGTCCATGACAATGAAATGACTGGACGCAATGAATCGATCTGTGATTGGTGTAAATATCAAAACCGTCCTGTCCACAGAAGTAAATATTTACAAATACACTGCTTTAAATGAGTAAAAATGTAAATAATGAAATTAATAGCTACAATTCAACTTTATAATTGTATTATCAGCCAATAATTGTTTACCAAAATATCTTTCACTTCTCGAGCGAGGAAACGAGATATAATACCATGAGTTACAGTGAAAGTGGCGGCGGTCATAGTGATCAACGTGGCTACAGTTCACGTGGTAGTGCCTCTAGTCGTGGTTACGATGATCCTAATCGTGTAGGGAGTGGGGGAGGTTATAGTCAACGTGGGGGGTACGGTGGAGATCAACGAGGGGGTTCAGACTCTCGTAGTGGCGGGGATTACAGTCGTTCGGCATCTGGTTACGAAGATTACAATCGAGGGGGAGGGGGTTACGGTGTATCAAGTTCTGGAGGTTCCAGGGGGTACGCGGGAAGTCGAGGGGATTACGGTTACAATACCGGAAGTTACGCCAGTGGAGGGTACGATGATCGCGGGGGTTACGGTGGAGGTTCCACTGGTCATGGATCCTATGGTGGAGGCTCTTCTAGCTACGATAGTCGAGGTGGTTATGGTGCTTCGTCTGCTGGAGGGTACGATCAAAGTCGAAGTGGGTATGGAGATCGTACTGGATATGGAGGAGGAAGTAGCCATGGAAGTGGAGTGTATGACGATCGGTCTCGTGGATATTCCAGTGGAACGGGAGGGGGGTATGATGACCGCTCACGTGGCAGCAGTCGAGATGATCGTGGGTACGTAAGAGGAGCAGGAGGTGATCGTCCTTCCTATGGAGGACGTGATGATCGTGGCTATGGAGGACGTGAAGAACGTGGCTATGGTGCCAGTAGTGCCGGTGGACGAGATGATCGAGGTTATGGCGGTGGTGGAGACCGTGCTGGAGGGGACCGACGTGGAGGGGACTATAGCTATGGACGTCGTGACGAGCGTGGGGCCAGTGGTGACCGCCGTGGAAGTGGGCGTGGAGGTGACCGTGGATATGGCGGTGGAGGCCGTGGAGGTGGTCGCAGCGGTGGCGGAGGAGGTCGCAGTGGTGGTCGCGGAGAGTGCGGCCCTGGTGTTGGTACGGTGGCTGGCTCCGGATACGAAGCTGTTGGAGAACCGTTGGCTGACCCTCGTCTTGTGGAAGAGTGGAGTGGCCGCGCTGAAGCGCGTGAAGTGAGTGCTGACGACCCCGATCTGCAGCAAGAATTTCTCATTTGTCGTCGCCCAGGTTTGGCTAAAGGTGGCAAGTCAATGCAGCTGCAGGTGAATTTCTTTGCTGTGTCGGTGGACTCGGCTCCGGCCGAGATTTTCAAATACCACGTGGACGTTGAACGTTCTCCTGACGTCGCGACGGACTCGAAGTATGGTCCATCTGGCGATGCTTCAGTAGACCAAAAAAACGAGACCATGGATGATGGTGAGATAAAGGAAACGGAAAAGAACGAGAAGAAAGACACGGATGTCAAGGACATGGAGATGAATGACGTTCCAGCGCTACCTAAGCGCGAACAGCGTCCGGAACGACCCCTTCCGCGATCCTTAGTGCGAAACGTGATCAACGCTGCCCTGAGACAGTACGAGGTCGATTTTGGAGGAATTCGTGTTGTTCATGATGGTATGTCTGCCATGTACGCACCTGCTATGTTATCGTGGGAAGCACACTGCAAGACCTTCGTCGATGTTAATCCAGATGGCCCCAGTCCTACACCGCCACCCCCACCTCCTCCTGCTGCTGGTGAGGCGCCTCGTCGCCCTTTTAGAGGCCCACGCACATTTGTTCTGAAGATGAAGCTTGCTGAAACGATTTCGACGAGCACATTAACGGACTACTACTCGAACCCAGATGTAAACGTGATGCCAGTTCTACAAGCTTTGGATGTGGCCGCGCGCCACTTGGGTGCCCAACGCTTGATTGCTGTGGGTCGCAACTTTTTCTCTATGAAGAAGCCGTTCCCACTCAAGGGCGGCAAAGAGCTGTGCTGGGGCTACCATCAGGCCATCCGCGTTGCGGATCGCAAACTGCTTATGAATGTAGATCAAGCTGCTACGGTGTTTTATGCTCCTAAAGAGCTTATGGAAATTGTGCTTCCTGTTTTGAACGCCCGCTCACCAAACGACGTCCGCTCCCTACAAGACCGCGACGGGAAAAACTTGGCACGTGCGTTGCGAAAGATTGAAATAGTGCCTACCCACCGCAAGGATCGAAAGCGCGCGATTTTCGGCATTAGTGCTCTTCCGGCAAATGAGACTATGGTGGAAATCAAGGGAGAATCGATGTCTGTTGCCGACTATTTCGGCAAGCGGTACAACGTGAACTTGAGGTATCCGCATCTACCATTGATAAACGTTGGCAGTAAAAGACCGGGCAAGGAGAACTGGCTGCCAATCGAGCTTTGTGAAGTGGCGCCTGGACAGCGCTGCGCAAATATTAACGAGCTGGATACTGCAGAAATTATTCGACAGACCAGTCAGCCCCCGCGCGTTCGTCAGGAAAGAATTGTTGATCAAGTGCGCCAGGCCGGTTTCGAGAATGATCCATACCTGGCCGCCTTTGGCATTAAGGTGGAGCAGCGTCTCGAAACGACGGATGCTCGTGTTATGGATCCGCCTGACGTGCAGTATGCGAATGTATCCGAACGGCCGTCTGGAGGGCAATGGAATTTGAGGGACAAGCGTTTTGTTGAGGGCGCCACGATGCGAAACTGGGGAGTTGTTGTCACTGCCAAGATCGGAGAACGTGATGTCCAGGGTTTTGTCCGCAACTTGTTGGATATGGCAGGCAAGAGTGGATTGAATATCGAGGATAGTGACCCACATATGATTCATATGGACCAGCATCGTGGTGCGCAAGTCGAAGAGCTCATGAAAATGTGTTTTCAGGCGATGAAAGAGCGCAACAAAGGCCCTCCGCAGCTCATTATGGTGATAAAGCAGGACAAAAGCATTGGATCCTATGGCGATATCAAGCGCATGTCCGATACAGTGTTGGGAATTCCGAGTCAATGCATCGTGTCCCAGAACGTTCGCAGTGCAAAACCGCAGTACTGTGCCAACGTCTGCTTGAAGATCAACATGAAGCTTAGCGGAAAGAACTCGATCCTGCGCGAGCCATTGCCCCTAGTGAGTGATGCTCCAACGATCATTATCGGTGCCGATGTCGAACACCCTCGCTCTGGCATAGGCTCACGACCGTCCATTGCTTCCGTTGTTGCTTCGCTGGATCGCTACTCGGCGAAGTACGTTGCTCGTGTAGCTGCGCAGAAGGCTTCTAGCGATATTCAGCTACTGCCACACATGTTGCGCGACCTCTTTTTGGCGTACTACCAGAGCACTAGCCGAAAGCCAGAGCATGTCATCTATTACCGCGACGGTGTCAGCGAAGGCCAGTGCTATGATATCTTGCAAGTGGAAATGCGCGCGCTTCGAAAGGCGTTTAAGATGATCTCTGAGGACTACAACCCGCCGATTACGTTCATCATTGTGAACAAACGCCACCATATGCGGGCCTTCCCGGTGAATCAGCGCGAAGCCGATCGGAAGGGCAATGTCATCCCCGGAACGGTGATTGACACTGGAATTGTCGATTCGCACCGCTTTGACTTCTTCTTGTACGGTCACAGTGGCATTCAAGGCACGAGTGTTCCCTGTCACTACACTGTTTTGCACGACGAGAACAAAATGTCAGCAGAGGACGTGCAACGTCTGACGTACCATCTTGGGTACACGTTTGCGCGCTGCACCCGGTCGGTGTCTTTTGCCACGCCTGCTTACTACGCACATTTGGCTGCTGCTCGTGCGCGCTTCTTCCTCAATGAAGGTTCCGATGGCGCGTCCACCGTGGGTTCGTTCAACTCGAGTTCGTCCAACTTTGACTTCGTCGAGCTGCACAATGACCTCAAGAACTGCATGTTTTTCATTTAGTTACAACTGGAAGACGAGTGTTTGTGCTTGAAAGGCTGAAGAAAGGATGCTGAATAGGACGAACACGTACGAGTCGACATTTGCATTGGAATCCACCATGGTGGCACTGATTTTGACGCAAAGGAAGGTGCTAATGGAGGAGGAAGAAAATCACGAAACCTATAACGATTGAATGAATACATGATGAGAAAACAAGACGTGCATCCTCTTGAAGTACCACTTGGTTCTCTATAAATCATTTGAAAGGATGTGTTGGATGGATCTCGTAAGCCCCCAATCGTGGTAGATAAGATAGCATGCAACTGATTGCATGAATCATAATGAAAGATTCCTGAGGTCTTCTATTGAAATGAGATCTCTTGACATCAGGTGCTCTTCATTATCGTACGTTCCAAGTTTGACAGAAGACATCAAGCAAAATACATTGAGGTCGTACGAATGCATCGACTTTTTCATCTTGTTGGAGGGACAGCAGCTCTAGTGTTTGCAATGTTGAATGCTGGTACTGCGGCCAACTCGTATTGTTTCGCGGATGATTTTCTCTTTGGATCGGCCACTGCTGCGTATCAAGTCGAAGGTGCTGTAAAAGAAGGGGGACGTACACCGAGTATCTGGGACCAGTTCTGTCGTGAACGACCAGGTGTCAAGTGTGCAAATGTGGCCGACGACTTTTATCATCGCTACAAGGACGATATCCAGCTGATGGTGGAGATGGGACTCCAGAGCTTTCGATTCTCCATTTCGTGGTCACGGGCAATGAGGTGGGACCCCGCTATTCGTGGCATGCGCCCGAATCCAGAGGGTATCACGTTCTACCATTCGTTGATTGATGAACTCAACGCAAACAACATTGCGCCAATTCTGACGCTGTACCACTGGGACTTGCCCCTGGAGCTGCATACTGAATTGTCACCTCAAGGATGGCTCAACCCGGATCTTGTCCAGCATTTTGCAGAGTTTGCGATGCTCATCTTCCACGAGTACGGCAGCAAGGTGAACCTCTGGACGACATTTAACGAACCGCTAACATTCACGACAACCGGTTACGCTGGTGGAAGCATGGCTCCAGGCTTTACTGGTTCATCGACTCAAGTGTACGAGGCCACGCACAATGTGCTGCTTTCTCATGCGAAAGCAGTTCAGCAATTTCGCAAACTGAAGAGTACTCATGTTATTAACGACAAGGCTCGGATTGCCATTGTACTCAATGCTGACTACGCGTATCCATTGGATGCAAAGAACCCTGCTGATGTGGAAGCTGCATCACGTAAGATGCAATTCGACATTGGCTGGTTCCTCTCACCAATTGTTAATGGGGACTATCCGTCGGTCATGCGTGAAGTTGTGGGTGATCGCCTTCCCAGTTTCTCGTCTGAGGAGTCTGAGCTGTTGAAGGGCTCCTACGACCTATTCATGCTCAATCACTATTCGACTCAAGCTGCTACCGACTGTGACTCTAGTGCGTCAAAAACTAGCTGCAACACGTTAGCAGTCGGATGGGAACGTGATCGCGGCGTCGATATCTCTCAGACCGTGCCAGGTACCAGACAACGTACCAAGAAAGCACAACAAGATTCGCACTGTGCTTTGTTTACCGCTTACCCACCAGGATATCTCGCAACCATCAAGTGGCTGCATCAGCACGACAAGGCTGCTGACATTCTGCTCACCGAGAATGGATGGTGCGGAGACGACGAGATCGACAACCCAGACCAACTATGGTACTTCAAGGCGTATCTGAATCAAGTGCACAAGGCCATCACTGAAGAACATATCCCTGTCATCGGCTACACGGCTTGGTCGTTCCTGGATAACTACGAGTGGGGCTCGTACGAGTCACGTTTCGGTCTGTACTATGTCAACTATACGTCCGAATCTGGGTCTCCCGACTTCTACGAGCCGACGCCGTCTGACCTCGCTCGTATTCCTCGTCCGTCAGCCAAGTGGTTCAAGAAGGTGGCGACAACAAAGTGTTTGAGCGTGGACGAAGCTTCAACAACGCCCATAAATGGCAGACACAGTCACCATGTGTGGCGTTGGCTATTTGGCATGGTTGCGATCGCGGCAGTTGGTTTTGTTGCATTGGTTGTGCTGGTGTTCTTCGTAGGACGCCGCATCTGGCGCAACTACCGTGGTAACGAGAATGGTGCAGCAACTGAACGAACCCCGTTTCTCTAAGTTGGTCCTTACATGACATCAAGTGCAATTTCTTGAACGGCGTAAGCGTGCCACCACTCGTGCTTCGCTACAAACAAAGCTACCCGTAATGAACGTACCCATTTCTTCTTGCATTTGCGTTCTGGTATCTAACGACAACATTGGCTTTGAATGTCTCGCTTGACTTGAGCTGTTCTGCTCAAGCCGCCACGTCAAAGTTGAAGAATTACAGACTTCTATCATCGCACGAGCCTTTAGGCAGAAACGATATCAGCTGTGAAACAAGTAAACCAATCTCAAGTAACCTTGTGCAAGATAGCAGGGTAGTCACTCGTGATGATCGGCTAGAATCCCCACACGCGAAATCTGACGGCGACCATGCTTGCCTAGTCGAAAGTGCATGGAACGAGTTTGGCGCAAGCCGGACATCTACGACGCCAATTGCTGCAATACACCCGGGATCACGTGCACTCATCGACGACTTCTGCTTATGTTCCAAGTTTTTAAGTTAGATATAAACGACGTAGCTGTAGCTTGACGGGGCATTCAAAAAAGTCTTGTCCCGGCTCAGTGATGAAGACGCCATGAAATGCCGCTATGATGTTGCCGTCCTGAGGCAGGACTCGTAATTGCAAGCCGTCACGAAAAAGATCTGAGCAGCGGCGACATTGACGAATCAACGTTATTAATAGGATCGGTGCCCGTTCTCAGGAGTGAGTCGGGCGACTTTGACCGACTTGTCGGAATTGTACACGTGACACATGATGCTCTTTAGTACAGGAATTTCAATCCGTACATTGTAGCTTCAATGGACCACGCCTGATTGCAAAAGTGTCGGCAGTAGATTTCCATGTTTCCGGTTGCAGACTTAGTAGCAGCGGATGCGTGTTTGACGGGGTCCCAGTGGGCGTTGCAGTTGCACTCTGCTGTGTCCTTGCAGAAGATGTCGAATACTTCGAGAAAAAACGTCCTCAGCGTCGCCCGGCCCACGTTTCGGCGCTACGCTGTTTGTTTTGTTTGCTGGTGTGGCGTCAGCATGGAACAGTTGCAATGATGACAAGATCCGTGTACATACCGGTTGACAAAACGCAAAGGGGACGGACCATGAAGCTGACCGTTTTCTGATACCATTTCCCATCTCAGCAAGCTGTCAATTCCACGCCGCATGACTCTCATTTTCGAATCTAGCGCGTAACATTAGCATCGACGTCATGAATCAACACGCAAGACCACCACAAATGCTTGTAGACAGCGTAAATCCTGGAAATGTCCGACAGGTAGTAGTACTCCCGTGTTCGGTGCCGTACTGCGAGCGCTCATTCAGCAACAGCTTCTCGCTGGACGAGCACCTCAAAAAGCACGCGGGCGGGAAGCGCCACATCTGCCCGATACGTACATGCGGCCGTCGTTTTAGTACTGAGGGCAACCTCTCGCGCCATAAGCGCCTGCACGGCCCCATCATATCGCTCAAATGTCCTGTTGTCGGCTGCATCTGCACATTCCGGAGCGAGAACAAGCTATCCAAGCACATGAAGTTTCATTTGGGCAGCCCCGTGCACGTGTGTCAGTCGCCCACGTGTGGTAGGACCTTCAGCACCACTGGCAACTTGAACCGACACATGAAGACGCACCACCCGGAGCTGAATATAAGGAATACCATGCCTATGACCGTCACTGCCGTGCCGCCGCTACAGAGAGCCCATGACAGCCCTATCGGCTCGGATGAGTTGCTGCCATCCACATGGAGTTTGTCGACTTTCAATAGAGCTCCGTCCAGTCCGACATCCAGTTGTTCTTCGTGTGCTTTACCAATGATGTCATCGACGTCAAGCCTGAGGCCGCCAAACATCACGTTCGACTCGAAGCAGTTTGACGCTCTCGTGTCAGTTTTGGACGAGCAGTTGAAAGTCGAGCACCTAAAACCAAACGTCATAAAAAGTGACGATCATTTGGTGGAGCAGTTGGCAATGACACGACCGAGTGTGCTCGATGACATGATTCGCTTTCACATGGATCACCTGTAGATGTAGCCATCGGCATGTACTTGTTGGTGTACGTTTACTTTTATGTACTAACTTATAACTGATATGGACATTTCATCTGATTAACAAACATTCTTATTGCTGGCCGTCTCATTGTCCTGTCTGTTATATCGGTAACCCATGTCAGTCAGGCTGACTACATGCACTCTGATTACGATGATGCGTATCATCATCATCAGCGACATGTTACCAAATACCGGTATCATCGATTAACCGGTAGGCAGCTGATCAAATTGCACCACACCAACATTACATAATCGGAATGTCGCTTGAAGAATCCCCTCTTGTAATACAGACAATACTTCCTACCACCTCGACTTTAGATCTCATAGTAAAATCCCCTTTGAACCCCCCAAGAAGCATCGTAGATATGAGTACACCTGTTGTAAACCTCAAGTTTTTACGTGCTGGTAGCCGTGGTGCTTCTGTAAACTACGGTGGTGCAATGCCCAATATGCACATGAATGCTGTAGATGATCTATGTGAGCACGCAAGCGCTTCGACTGCCCTATCCGCTGGCTTTATGCTCCCGCCCGTAGCAGATCCAGCTGCTTACTCACGTGAACACTTTAAGGTCAAGTATACCGAAGATAATGAGCAATCCCTGCAATTTGCAAAGGGGACCACAACCCTAGCTTTCATCTACGACGGTGGTATTATCGTGGCTGTTGATTCACGTTCGACCATGGGCCCCTTTATTGCGTCACAACAAGTCAAGAAGGTGAACCCCATTAATGATTATATCTTGGCTACATTAGCTGGTGGAGCTGCTGATTGTCAGTTTTGGCAACGTAATCTGGC